ATTGTTGCCCGTTAGACACTACAGATAAACCTGAATGCTTAGTACCTAGCGCTCAGTCTAACGACACTGTTTTCATTATTGATCTGGGTCAGCGATAAACACTGATAAATTGTAGATCGTTGTGCCTTCTTCACTTGTTTTTAGCATCTAATAAACATTTGTTTTTTAATTAAAACATTTTGTAACAATGGAAAACAAAAGTTGAACGGCTTCTGAAGTCTTGGCTGATTACGAAAGACAGATATTTTATATATATATATATATTTTTTTAAAACGTTGCCCCACGCTGGAATTTTTTCCTGTATCGTGGGTGCGTTTACAAACATACAAGTTCACATACACATGACAGCCAGACCAGAAACAATATTTTGTGGATCACCTAAAGTGGTTTTTCGTGCGGGAATCGAACCTGCGACACGTTGCACAGCAGCCGGTTGCCCAGCCACCGCACCAACCGTGCAGTCAATATCTATAGAAACGGTGTTTTTTCTCAATTTAATGTACTATTCAGTACGTAGGTACTCGTATTAAAATGCACTGATTTATTACTTGATTTGTTGCTTGATAGGTTCTTTGTCGGATATATACATTACATAACATTAAACATAACATCGCGCCTTTTATCCCCGAAGGGGTAGGCAGAGGTGCACATTATGCCACTTTACAATGTAACACCCACTTTTCACTTTTCACTATTTTGTTATGAGTCCCATGTGATAGGGGGTGAGCCTATTGCCATATACCGAGCACAATTCCAGACTCCGTACTATTACTAAGAATTTTTTTTATTACCTAGTAATACTTTGCCTGAACCGGGAATCGAACCCGAAACCCCTTACCCGGTCGCACTTGCGACCATTCGGCCAACGAGGCAGTCGAGCAGTATAATATACGTTACGTATTGTTATATTATGTGTAACTAAGAAAAGAAGGTCTAAGTAAGAACATTATAGGTTTTTTTAATCATCAAACACAGATGTTATATAAATAATACCTATCGTATTTACTAAAGTGCAACTGAAGCATAAGTTTATGCTAAAACGTACTTTTTCTTGCTAAGAGAATATCAGACTGAAATCTAAAGCAGATTTAGCCTGAAAAGAGTTTTAACGCTGTGAGACGTCTATAAGTTAGAGACCGACTGAGTTTGTACACAAGTTCGACAGTTCATTTTGCGTCTCGAATACCTATTCAACAAACTATGTAAATAACTTCAGTAAGTCCTGACAATTGAATGTAAAATCGATTAGAGATTTGATTAAGATAACTGAGGCATAAATATAAAACTTTCTTTGGATTCCATTGTTATGAGATTTTGCAGTTCAAGAGGGTTAACAAAACTTGTACCCCTGGGGGCCACGGCTAGTAGAGTACAATAAATTGCCCACGCGCTCACAAAGGTCACTTATGTTATTTTCAAGCAAAATTTAATTAGAACAAAATATTAGATACTTTACTAGGTTTACCCTCGGGTAAATTTACCATTATCCTTCGCTTCTAGTAATAAAAGATAAGCGGTTATAATTATTAGTCAGTTGTTGATTTGGTATTAAAATTCACTGGACCAAAAATAATGTTCATATAAAAGGTCCATTTTATAAATACGGTTATATTCCTCGTTCATTGAAGTACATAATATCTCCGAGCCGAATTATGGACATATTTCTAATTTACATATAAATTGTTGACAATTTAAACTCATGAACTTATTACTTGGTGAAATCGTTGTTGTTGCGTTACGTCGTACAGACTGTCAACCTCGCAGGGCTCACAGGCATTCCTAATAAGGAATAACAAAATCCCCAGGGCAAAGTCGTGAAAAAGCCACTTTATTTTAGCAAATAAACTTATGTTGAGATTGCTATTATTTCTCGTTTGTAACTTGTTATGAACGGAACGTATAGTATTCTTCGCAAACATAAGATTTTTAAAATCTAGGAAAATTACATTGTGTTTTAATAATCATATGAAAGGAAGTAATATTACACTTACAATAGACATACTTTTATGTTTATTACATTAATACACACAACATAGGTATCCGATTTTGATGGGACACCTCTTCTGAGCTCTATTATATAGATTCAATAAATTAAAAAAACCTACGCAAACAAACAGTTAATAGTGAATACTTTGAAAATAATTATATTCTTTCCGATTAGGCTCACCCCCTATTACACGGGACTGATAACATAAATAGTGAAAAGTGGGTGTTACATTGTACAGTGGCATAATGTGCACCTCTGCCTAACCCTTCGGGGATACAAGGCGTGATGTTATGTATGTCTTTCCGATTTCCAAGAGACATTTCTGTGTCAAAATTAGAGTACAATCATGAACTCCTAATTTTACACCACACATGGCCGATATTTAGGTTATCTATATGTGTATGTACTTAGAACACATATTTCTAGCAACATTTCCGATATGACCAAATAAAAAAAGTTGTCCCAACACCCAACAAGCGACAAGCGTTGAATTTTAAAAGCATCGTGGGAGCTTTGGTTTTACTCTATACGTCTATACATATCACACATGTGCGTACAAACGTACAAGTCTACTCTCTATTTATGATATCTCTCTTACAAAATTATTCCATAAATATAGCAAAAGAAATACTTTTAATGGCGGTAATTTTTAATGTGCAAGGTAATTATTGATGACATTTATATTGCCTACGTAAGTTATATGTATGTATGTATGTGTGTGTAACTTGTTGACGGTTCAACACCTCCAAATTAAATTGATAAACTACCTAATTAATTAACAGGTAGTCGAAAACTAGGGTAGGCTACTTATAAAGCGGTTTTACTTTACCGACTCCACAAAATAACAATATGAATATTCAAAATAAAAGAAGATCCTATGTTCTTACAGTGTTCTGTATAATTGTATAAGTCACTAATATTTGATGTCGTCAGCGTGAGAATCAAGCTTCATAGCTGAGCCTAAAATTGATGCTTGCATATACCTCATAACTCAGCTAACAAAGTTGAATGCGTTGAATTGTGAGTGGTTACAATTCTGCTAACCTCTACGAGGAATAAAGGAATAATAACTTTTGTTGTAATAACTAACGTTCTTGTTGTACTTTAAATAAAACACAAATGTTTTAATGTCCAAAATAAAAAATTTAAACATATTTATTTATTATAGGAGGATTTTCTTCTGAATCGTGGATGATTTTACAAAGATGTAAAAAAATAAGTATGGTTGAAAACTATTAATAAATTACTTAATTAACTTAAGGTATCAGTCGCAGATTCGCTTGCGATTTTCCGATGAAGCAATTTGTGTTTTGCGGCGGACGATTTGGTACTTAACTTTTTGGTGATCTTATAATTAATGTAGGAGGTATAGTATTATCATTAGATTTAGCCTTTTTAGGCTTTGCTAAACCGCTTTGTAGTATGATATTTCGATCGATTATATCAACTAGCCGTTTTTTTTTCTCTTCGATTTCAAATTATTTTTATTAATTATAACTTTAGTAACTTTTTTACTTATATAGAAAGACCTGTGTATTTTAAACACCTGTGCATATATCCAGTTTAACGTAACTAAAGTATTTTCTACATAGCTTTATAAATATTGATTACATTCATTAAATAACTCTTCAAAGCTCTTCAAGCAAATACGTAAAGGTTGTGGATTATGCATATTCATGAGGTTTAAAAGTACATTGCACTTTGACTGAAAGGAATTTAAAATGTGTAGTAGCGCCATCTACATGAGGCAGATGTAAATCTGTAACCAAAATTTCAGCCACCACGACAATTTTAGAAACACGGCATCTAGCGGAGGGTTATGTAAATACTTCGGAAAATTCGTACATGAGTGAGAAAACAGCGAACTGGTTGGTTTGAATGCTGAAAGGCGACATCTAGGAATTTGCATTGAATGTTACGGAATGTTGAAACTCAGTACCCACAGTACCGATCACGAAGAGCTTAGAATAAATAGACCGTTCATAGTTCCGATCCGAAAGCCAGAGGGCTTCCCTAAATACTCTTTGTGTCATATCATACCCATCCTCCTGTACCTACGTATACAGAGTTGGCACGTAACTACTTACTTACTATGAATGAATCCTTAAAGTCACATCAAACATAACGACCGATATGAATTCGGTTCGTATTGTGTGTCGTATAAAAATTTTACAACTTTGCGTAGAACCGAGGAACCCGCTATCATCAAATCAATTTTACGGTCGTTTTAGGGGTTGCTATGGTTATTTCTTATCGGGGAAATCTATTAAAAAAACAGCACGACAATTGGCAAGGTCACTCAGTAACAAGCATTGGTTAGACTTAAATCGAAATGATTAAAAAGGCCTTATTACAGAATCAATATTTAATTATTATCATCAATTTACAAATGAGAAAATATATGTTAGGTGGTACCTTGAAGTTTCTACGGATAGGTACTATCTATTAACATTGAGTAAGTAATGAATAGCTAACTAACTAACTCAGATATGCACAATCAGATGCAGCCCTAGCCAAACTAGGTACACAAACATTCATACAAATTCATTGGCGAATTCAGACATTCAGACCTGCGCGGTAGTGACCTGAGTGCCGAATGCAATACTCAAATAGAATACCATCTCGTTGAATGAATGAGATAAACTGCTTCACTACAAAAAGACAATTGGAAATTTTAAGGTTGATTTTGTTAGTAGTAATCCACATTTCATACGAATAAGGGTTATTTTACCTAACACAAGAAAATCTTATTCAACACGTGCGGTATCAATCTACATATTGTAGTACGTTCACACTTTACTCATGTTGTACCTATCTGTCCTTATTATTCCAAAGGGGTCATGTAACACATGTCCGTAATGTTAAGTATAAACAATAGACGTTATTTCATCTGAAATCCTAGTATTTACTATGCAAAAGCCGCCCAAGCCTGCAGCCGGCGGGGACGCGCGGGGTGCGTGCGACCGCCACGCCACGCGATCATTTTGCACCGAAAGGCGGGCGGGGTGCACGTCGGGTAGATACCGTCCGCCCGCGCCACCCACGTACCGATTCTTCTACTACAACCTCGTTAGTCTAAGTGACGTAAAGCCTTCATATAGTCGCGCACTGTGAATGAGTACGTACGTTATTGAGGACAACGTGGGATCGTTGCATTGTGCCTCTAGTGTATGGACAAATAAATATTCAACCTTGCGAACTGCATTTATTATTCAGTGGCTACGCTAATACACATAGCCAGGATGGCGCCTCGTACAGGTAAGTTTTATTGTCGAATTTGATTTGCTTTTTTTTTATTTACAAAGGATAAGGATCAGAAAATAATTTAAAAAATACCTATGATTAAGGGTGTTTTGAAATAATTATGTACTTGTAGATACGAATACATTTTCGTTGTTTCATTATGATTTTATCGTGACTTTCTGTATGTGTCTTAATTTCGGACACAAGGTTCAAAATGCTGTGTCGTAACCTACAATGAATTGCAAGCACTACCGGGCTGCATTTTCCGAGGTGCGCAACTCCTTCCTGCTATTTTTGCCACTGGCATGCTTTGATTGTGAGTCTCGCTTTTGTGGAATCTTAGCGCATTGGGAGCACTGGTAGCAGTAATATTTATTGTGGTTTCTCGTATTGTGTTAAAGTACTTTTTATTTCGTCAATATGACACAAATAATAGTGATTTCAAAGATAATGTAAAGTTAAATTGTTGATGTGGTCGTACAAGCAGTTTAAGTACATTCTGTACAGTAGTTCGAGCAGTAGAAGTAGTAAAACAGTTGGTGTGGCAGCAGGCTGCGAGTAAAGGGCCAGTGGCGGTCGTAAGCGCTATTTACGGCGCGAACGGTTCATTTACCGCCGGTCACTTTATTGCTTGCGTGAACTTTACTTAATGCATAGCTCGACCTGCGACCAACGCACGATGTTAAATTGATTAACCATGGTTTAATGGGAGCAAAAGGTTCAAGCCTAAAGTGCTTTCGAGAACTGGGCCTAATTGCTGCCTAAGTAGCGGCATTGATAAATAATTTCCCTACCGTAATTAAGGAAACTTTAACATGAACACTACATACATATATGATTAATCTTCTTGTTAATATTCATATTCATGAACTTCATAGAACGTTTGATTGCGATCAGAACCATTAATATAAGATTAAAGCGACCACGTTCACTATTTCTATTCTCCCGTATGGTATTAGTAGAACAAGACTTAACGGTGTCGTCATTTCCCAGTAGTAGCCGGTAGAATCCCACGTGGATACTGCACACAGATCTAATGGATACATAAAAGCGTAACCACTTTATTTATATGTAAATGGTGTATTGTCCTTCTAGGAAATTTGAGAACAAGCCAATGTGTGCGAATGTAGTACGTGAACCTTTTTGTTCGGCAGTTCCCCAGTAGTTCTGCCAACTCGATTAATGGCATCGGAGCCGAATGTTACCGAGAAATGTTATTTACATTATAGCGACATTCTCTTCGCCCCAATAAGTGTGTGTCGTAGCCTGACTGGACCACATAAAGGCTTTACTGCGAACGCTGTTTACATACTTCATATTAGCGTGATTACATGAAGTATTGACGTCACATAATATTATTTTATGGTCGAGGCAGTACACGTTTCTTCGACGAACAAAGAGCGGCTGTATGTGCTTACAAATTGTATTTAAGTTGGTAACTAAGCAAAGAGTACGTTTAAAAATAAACCCACCTAAGTGCTCGCCGAGTATGGCGATAAGGTTTCGTAGGGTTGTGTTACGTCTTAATACTGTTGTATTGTTTGGACGTTGGCAGCTTATTTACTGGCTCAGTCGCCGACTTACTTAGGTTCATACAGTTTCTCTAATGTTATTGTAATTTGTATAATGTTGTGCTTGAAACTGTGACCTCGTTATTTAATTATTTTGTACTTACCCCGGGGCGAGTGTTGTTCGTATACATTACTGAATTGTTTAATTTCCAAACGATAGTTGAAGAACCTAAAAAGTTGACATGTCGAAGTCAAAGTCAAAGCATTTATTTCAATTAAACCATAATTTGGTACTTTTGAAACGTCAACAAATACAAAATAAATAATAGTCTGTCAATCAGTCCGTCAGTGAAGCTAGGTGAACCTAGGTGCTCATTCCAAAATGTAGGTCCATGAGAGGTCAATCGCAGTTCAAAGAATTGATATCTCCCTGAAGGCAATAAAGTTGTATTATTTATTAAATACAATAGCTCTGTAGGGTACAATTTGATTAGAAAAGAGAATCAAAATGTTGAAAATGGCGTGCAAGCTTATTTCTATATAGCTAAACAATCACTTCTAAGGTCACGAAGTAAAATGGTGGCTTTGAACAATGTCACACACTAGAATTATGTTGTTGCAGCGTCGGCTTACGTTGGAAAATCGATAACAGTTCCAAGTCTGAGTAGAAATCACGGTTATTTGTAAAAATATAACGATTTCAATACAATGAAGTTAATGTGATTTTTTTATAACAATGTGGAACTTTACGATCTTACTACATAGTGTAGTCAACTTTCATGATAAAATAATGTGTTACACATGATGCTCATGTTTTTGTAGGTACCTATAATATATGCAAATGAAGTAATTTATGTTTAGAGGGTGTAACGTGTACTGTTATAAAAATAAGGTTAACCACTAGCATTATGAATTACTCGTTCTCATGAACTTATTGTAGTTTAAAACGTTGATTTGTATTTGAAAATGTTGTACAATAAATTTAAATTGTAATGTAGCAAATGAAATGTTTCGTAGCGCTTGCTACGAATTGGTCTACGGCCTACGCCGTCACGCGGCGCTCCGTTGTTCATAGTAATTAGCTTGTATATTTTAAAAAGCTATTGCATTGGTATAATACATTTATTCGCTATTTCATATATGAAAATAGAATTTAATAAAATGATTCTAAGCTAAACAGTCACTCATTACTTAAGAGGGCATATCACTGGACCTGTACCTCACATATCGTATAACATTACAGAAGTACTGTTGAATGTCTCCCAGACAGAATCCATAAAAAGAGAAAAAAAATGTATTGTACTTTTAATTTTCACATAATTGTGTGAGTTACTCGACACAGCCCATTTATATATATTGTTTTCAAACAAAAGAGGTCTTAAACACTTGGTATTTAGTATAATACAGCTACCACATGGTACAAATATTTCGTAGCACTGGCTACGAATGGACTACGGCCCACGCTAATATTTCGCGTAGGCGCTGCTTATAACTTCACTTACATTCTTATACGACTTAATATACTTCAGGGTCATTAGATATTATGAGACGGTATTTTTTTAATGGTACTTCATTAGCTGCTCACAGAAACCTCAAAGAGACTCGATTAATTCTACCGTCTATCTGTATAAATAAAAACGAATCACCGAAATGTTTGTACATAACTCCGAAACTGTAAGACGAAATTAGATCATTCATTTTTCTTCGTATTATTTATTGATAGCATAGCATTCGTGGGAGCAGATCACTAGTAGTTTAATAATAATAATTCCCCAAATTATTTGTAAGTATTGCTACGATTGGAGTAGCGTCTACGACACTTCTTTAATATATATCTAGGCTAATATACGTAGTAAATGAATGTAAGGTTTTTAGTAATTTTATGAATATTTTATGTTCGATTGTTAATTATAAAAAACTTATAACAGTTAAAGTTAATAAATGGACAGTTTCAAATAATCAATAAATTCGGTGTTAGTGAGATTACAGTACGGGTGAAGAAATAGATTTTAAAATGTATACGTTGATCTAGTCCATGTGACTTATATTTACAGGAGGAAATCTAATTTATTGATATAGTTACATATACTTAAAATATAAAAATAATCTTTCATAAGTACCTCCTTCTTTTGTGAAGTCAGTAAAAATAAGTTAAACGCTCTCAGTCCAATTACTTAATTAATGCTGATTTGATATGACAAGTAGTAAGGTATATTGCATAATGCTTTAGAGTATTACTTAGAAGAAATATCTAGCCTACCTAGACTTATGAGTAATAATATTGACTTACGTGTGTTTGTTTGTACTGAGTATTATACTTCATGATTCCACTAAAGGAGTCATGATTCTAGTGAAGAAATGCTATTATACAAAATATTTCACTATGTATGAAACATATGAGGTAATTACGAACTTACTTCTATGAACAACAAACCAAGTTCTAGGTAACTATTGATAGCATAGTAATCATGCAAATTAACGATGAAAGTTTAAAAAGTCTATATAAAAATGGATTCAATGAAATGTATAAAGCCAAAGATACAATAGGGGACAAAATTTCCTGCGTCACGTGTCGCCAGCGACGTCGGGTGAAGTAGCGCAACGTTGCCGGAGTTTGGTCAAAATATCTGGTAACATCAACATCACTGTGGACATAAATTGCGCGTTGTCACCGCATATGTCGGGGATATCGGCCGGCTTCGCTCGACATGTCGCCGATGCATGTATTGTGACACATTTCATAGGGGACATATTCCCTAGTGTATACTTAGCTTAAAACAACATGACACATTTATTTTTAACTAGATGTGCCCGCGACTTCGTTCGCGTAGAATAGTGACTATGAGCAGCGTTTTTTTTTAAATATATACTTATTTTTATTTTAGATTTGGATCATAATCACAGTCATTTTGGGTAGCTAAAAAACCTACTTTACTGTAATGCTTCTCTATATACAATATTAGACGTATGGCCATCGACGGTGAAAGCATACAGGCTGCTGGGATTGCTAACACGGGACAGAGCCACATACAAGTGACCGTGCGAAAAACAACTGATACTTAAATCTATACCCACAACTTTTAGAGTCTGATCTTGAGCTTTATTAATTGTCATGGCGAAACATAGGCTCACTGGAAACTGAATTCGTTTAAAATTAAACGGAAATTTTTTTGGAATGAGAGGAATCTGAGGAATAAAACCACTATCACCTTTTCCGCACCCTGTTAAATATATATATATTTATAAGCCATTTCTGAGATTAGCGTGAACAGACAAACAAACAAACAGACAAAAAAAAAGTTAGTTACATTTTTGGGTTCAAAAAAAAAAAAAAAAAAAACCCAAAAAATTTTTTTAATTTTATTTTCAATGTACAGACAGCACTTTTCTACAATTTTATTATATGTATAGATAGATAGATAGTGTTCGACGTGATTCTTTAATTTGACGTAACTTTTTTATTTATGAACCGATTGACATGAAACAAACACTAAAGCATAACTGAAGCATACCACAATATATTCGTGAAAACCGCATCTAACTCGGATAAGCCGTTTCTGAGATTAGCGTGAACAGACAAACAAACAAACAGACAAAAAAAAAGTTAGTTACATTTTTGGGTTCAAACATCGACATAACAATAGCCCCTGCTATTTTTTTTATTTTATTTTCAATGTACAGACAGCACTTTTCTACAATTTTATTATATGTATAGATTGTCTTCGTGGACTATGTTGAAAGATTTTTTGGTTCGGTCCCAAGATGGAGGCAACTAGATCGCTTACCATCAGGTGACTCGTCTGCTCGTTTGCCTAATATTCCTTAAAAAAACTAGATTTTTGGATTTTTGAAAGTTTCTTAGTGATAGCACAGAGTCTAGAATTCTGTCCACATAATAAGTTCACCCTGTGTTATGTTTTCTTCTAGAGGGTGAAAATCATAATGACATCTCTCGCCTTGGGTGAGGCGAGAATGTGTTGGACTCTTACTGACTTAAAACCACTCCGTTCCCACTCCTTTCGAGTTGGAGTCCCCGTAACCTGTTAAGCTATCCGTACCTCCGGGTACCCTGTATTACATGCAAGTCCAGACATATCTGATAAATAGTAGATACATTAAATTATATACATAATTGTGAACATCTGAGATTAAAAAGTATAACATTATGTCATGTTTATTTATTTATTACTTCACACTTGACTTCACTCTATGAAAGGTGATTTTAAAATAGCCCTGTGAATGACCTTTAAATATCGCGTTAACATCGGTCGATTTGTTCAAGCGACGGTACCACAGACGAGAAAGCATTGATATTAAGGCAGTCACCTTTTTTCTTTGACACCTAAAAATATACTCGACCTATTGAAAAGACGTAGTCGTGTAGATAAACCTTTTTAATTGCGTTCTCTGGTGTACCTTCTAAGCATGGAGATGAAAAATCCTCACAAGTAGAGAAGGCCCGGAATCTAGTAGTGGACTGTTGATTATAATGATGATACATACAAAGTCAATGTCAATTTTTTTACTGAATTAATTTTCTCAGTATATTTACATCAGCAGACCATTATTTTTAGTTATATTAGTAAGTTTCACGACAGTGTTTTATTAGTAACTAGCAACCCGCCCCGGCTTCGCACGGGTGCAATATGCATATATTATACATACAAACCTTCCTTAAGAATCACTCTATCTATTAAAAAAAGCCGCATCAAAATCCGTTGCGTAGTTTTAAAGATCTAAGCATACATACGGACATACAGCGAAAGCGACTTTGTTTTATACTATGTATTGATGCCCCCTGGAGCATCTAGCTGACCCCACAACTATGTCTGCGTTTTTCTAAAATATAAGTAGCCTATGTTATTCGTGTAGTACATCAGCTAATTGCCAATAAAGGTAGCGTCAAAATTGCTCCAGCCGTTTCAAAGATTAGTCAGTACAAACAGACACAAAAATTATAAAGTGTTATTTTTTACTACACCGCTTTTTACTACATACATATGTAGTAAAAAGCGGTTATTTCAATATTACAAACATATTCGAATTTTATTAATCTGTATAGATAATTCAATTAATTTTTATACCAATTTCTCTCGTGCGGTTCCACGCTGCTCGACTCCTATCGATTGTAGTCCAATGTTTGTTGGTGGTACTTAGTCTTCTTCGAGAAACGATAAACACAAAATAATCTTCTTAATTCAAATATGTAGTTCCGGAGACAAGCGCGTTCAACCAAACAAAGCTTAATAATAAAAAAAAGTAGAGATTACCATCTGTGTAGAGTCTGTGTATTTATAACTTAAAATAATAATTGGTATAAAGTGTTCGAGACTGCGACTGGCGTCTGTAAGTCGGGGTCTGGTCGTCTAGTCTCTCGGCGCGACTGTGTCGAGCTCTATGGCAGAAATCACTGTCATTTGCAGAGTCTACTGTTTATTGTGTTTATCTATATTCATTTATCGTCTAGAAAGTTTTATCGGAGTACCTAACTCTAAATGCTTACTAGTCATGTACGTTTGTGTCTGGTTCATTATTGTAGTGGCTATCTAAATGATTAGGTATGGACAAGGTAAATGATACAGAACTTTTATGTCCTGTTTGTTGGGAATTTTGAGAAAAGTAAGTAAACTGTATAATATTCAAAACTGAGATTTTTTCCAGTACTTATCATCGTAGGCAGAAATAGATACATTATTTCACGCGAGCACAAATCACATATGGACCTGTAACGACAAAGTGGGAATCACAGAAATATAACATTGACTGCACGGTTGGTGCGGTAGCTGGGCAACCGGCTGCCGTGCAACGTGTCGCGGGTTCGATTCCCGCACGGAACAACACTTTGTGTGATCCACAAATTGTTGTTTCGGGTCTGGGTGTCGTTGTGTATGCGAACTTGTATGTTTGTAAACGCACCCACGACACAGGAGAAAATCCTAAGGTGGGGCAACATTAAAAAAAATCAACAGCAACAAGCAATTTTTTTTTGTGTACACAATTTTGTTATGACACATAAGGCGAACTTAATGTCATATGGCATTCTCTACCAGTCAACCTTAGGGTTTAAGTAGAAAATCTGCGAAAAATAAGGTATGGAGAATAAACTAACAGCAAAGAGAGAGAGAAAAAGAAAATGGTAATTATTAAATACTATAAGCTCTATATAATAATATAATACTATAATACTAATATATATAATACGAATTATAACATAGCTGTTTCTATGAGAATCTAAGTCTGTTGCACAGCACACTGCGTCAACCATGCAGTCAAAAGTATATGCAGATAATCTTAAAACGCCGAAATAATGTACTTCAACTGCTGAATACTTTGTTTGCCAAAAAAATCATGTAACATTGTACATTTTGAATGTATATGTATGTAGTTCTTCTTCAGTATATCATTAACCTGTTTTCTCAGCAAGAAATGAGATTCAAGTGTGTACCTTGGCAATGTTGAAATTCTTAAAGAACTGAGTGAGTTTGTACTTTAATAAAAGTTCTTGTTCACGGTGTTCTCTCCTATATTAATTCTACGTATAATATTACGTCTGTTATTATAATTATATTGATATTACGTGTGTATAGCGTCTGTGTGTTCTAAATGAATGTAGCTATTTCTTACATAAAGTGGATTCGACAATTAATAAGATGAGAACCAAATATAATGGGTATATTATATCTGAAATGTTCTGTATTTTCTTTCAAGTTATGTAAAAACACAATTAAATACTCGTGTTGTGTTTTTCTTGTTCTTAATTAAAATATTATTCTGTAATATATTCTTTGAACGAAGTCGTTATTTCTTTCTAATTTTCCAGATTTATTTCTTTATTTATTATTTTCGTCTTGAATTTGTTCATTCAACAGTCATACGTGTTTTATGAAGGAATCGATTTGAAAAAAAAGAATTGATTTTAAAAGTAGAATCTACTAGTTTTAAAATGCTAGATATAAAGTCTGACCACAGATAAATTTACACATTTTTCGCAACAGTAAGCACAAATGAAATTAATTCATTAGTTTGACCCACTATTTTATGTGATTTTAGTAAGTTCAAATATTAACACTGTAATAAGAAATTCATTAATGATATTGCAAATATAATCCCTCAAGTAAAGTAAGTAGCATGAAGGTCGTGTAACATTTGACCTAAATCATAAATCTATGCCTAAATCTCATAAAGTCAGAATTTAATTTCAAATGAGACCGCTTGCGTTGAGGTCGTAAGTGCGATGCCCCAACATGTCTGTAGCCGAAAGGATTTATGTCAACATGGACACTGAACGATAAGCAGGTTTATATCTTTCTTTAAGTTTGTAATATTTTCTTCATTCTAATAGGTACAATTCTTTCATAAACTACGTTTAAAAAAGACTTCAAGCCCCTCTTTTTTATTAAAGTCGGTTAAATTACCATACCAAAACCTGCTAAATGTAACAGTTTTCTGAAAGCCGCATCATAATCGGTTCAGCTAATTGTGAGATAATCGCGCACAAACACATATTCAAGTCAAACTGAGGGCCTCCGTTTTTCTTTTTGAAGTCGGTTACAAAAATATTAGTTTTTCTCTCTCCTCTCTTCATAGGTACTAAATATTTCAGATTCAGTACTGTGTATGTATGTATCAGGCTACTGCTGGTATTTTTCATTTAAAAAATCAATTTAAATTTCTTGCCCATGGCAGGAAATAAAGCCACACCACGTTGTCTAGCGGTCGTCAACGTTAAACTGAAATAGGTATAACCTTCTTAACGATAAATAATAATTAATGGCTAACTGCAATAATGTAAAGAATGGCTATTTCCATTACGGAATTGGTTGGTAGTCGTACCCGGATTTGCGTCCGGCTCATGACAAATAGTGCCGGCCTGTGGTCGCCTCCAATTAAATGAAACACCCTATGAATATCATAAATGTGAAAGTTTCTGTGAATTTTTTTATAACAACTATCGTGAGACATACTAAATTAACTAAACATCGCGGGTTACTTACGTGCATATACTGATAAAAGCTCTACTGTATTAATGCAAAATTTTAAATAAATCCATGCCATTTTGAGTTCATCCCGAAGATACATTTTTTTATATTTCTATTTTTAAAAACGTTTTCCCCACACTAGGATTTTCTCCAGTGTTGTGGGTGCGTTTACAAACATACAAGTTCACATATACAATGACACCCAGACCCGAAACAACAATTTGTGGATCACACAAAGTGTTGTTCCGTGCGGGAATCGAACCCGCGACACGTTGCATGGCAGCCGGTTGCTCAGCCACCGCAACAACCGTGCAGTCAAACAGACATACAGACAAAAATTCTATAAATCATATTTTTGGTTTCGGTATCGACTGTAGATCACGCCCAAAGCATTCTTTTAAAAAAATATTCGATGTAAGTACAGTTGTCACTTTCCTACGATTTTATTACCTCTATATGTATATAGAAGGTTTTTGTTGGAATTTTCAAAAGGCACATTTGGTCACTCGTCGCGTATATAATCATGTCTCTCTCTCCAAACAACAAATTTCATTCCGATACTGATTTGCACAAAACCGATTGTAGCGAATTAAACACAATTTCACGTAAGCGTAGGCATCCGGCATCAGAGTGGTCGGAAGCAATAGCGGAGTTGTCAAGGGAATTTAAGAACACGCTTAGTGATTGGCGTCGAGATTTGGAGAGTAGCGTTAAGGGGATAGCGGATAACGTATTAAGTATAAAGAGTGATCTTGCTGCGCTTACTCAAGTCACTTCAGAGATAAAGAATGATATTCAGTACTTGCGTTCAGAGCAGTCGGTAATGAAGCAACGCATCACTGAATTAGATACTAAGTATGATGATCTTGCGCGGGAGATTGACGATCTCAAGAATTCTGTGCAGTTTCTTGGCAACGATCAGTCCGATTTATCAAAGAAAGTGGGTGAATGCAGTGAGCGCATGCGGGAGTCAACTAACACTCAGCATACTGTGGTGGAGTTGGTTTCAAAGATCGACTATCTGGAACAAACCGCTCGGAGTTGCAACATAGAAATATGTAATGTCCCTGAAAGGCGTAATGAGGACCTGATGTCCTTAATGACAAATATTGGTACATCTATAAAATTCTCCATTAAGCCAAGTGACATAATATCGGTAAAACGGGTTCCCCATGCCGTGCAGAATAATAACAAACCCAAGAACATTGTTGCCAAATTTACCTCCTGTATATTAAGAGACAACATTCTTAGCGCTAGTCGATTGCATAAGGGACTCAATACGCAGCAGTGTGGAATATCAGGCACATCGGTACCGATCTATATGCACGAACATCTCACATTGAAGAGGAAAAAATTGTTTCGTGATTGCCGGGAAGCGGCAAGGATACATAATTATCGATTTCTGTGGGTTAAGAATGGAACCATACTCGCTCGAGAAAGGGAAGGAGCCAAATCCTTCGCTATTAGATCCTACCAGGATATCGCTAGGATCAGATCTGGCTCAGAAATCAAACAGGTTGCTGCTGACCCAGCCAATTGAAAGGATTGACGGAGTGGAGTGTGGTTTGATTTTTTTATTCACTCTAAATATTACTAATGTACTGCTTTTTGAAATGTATATATTGCTAATGTATTCGGCTTATGCTGTTTTCTTCTTCTTGGCGCTTTCGTGTGGATTTGTGGCTTTCTTTTTGCTGCTGCATAATGCATGTAACATCGTTGTAGTTTTTATCTTAGTTTGTTTCTGTGGAGGTTTGCTTGTCAATTATTGCTATGATATAATCTTAAGGCGTATTTGTATTTACTACTTTCTGCATATTGCTATGTTAAGAACGACAAGTAACATGTTGACGCTGTCTGTAAAAACTTACTACCACAATGGCCAATAACTTAGTAGTTTACTACCAAAATTGTAGGGGGATTCGTACCAAACTGCATATTCTGTATATGAATATACTGTCTAATTGTTACGATGTCATAGTGCTTACCGAGACTTGGCTAACATCTGAGATATTTGACAATGAGTTTATCGATAATCGTTACGTAGTGCACCGATGTGACCGTGATCGTACGGCCACTAATAAAAAGGATGGAGGTGGCGTTCTCATCGCTGTGTTGAAAAATTTACGTTCGGTGAGGGTATTCCCTCCATCTGAACTGAAAACACACGTCGAATTTATTCTTCTGAGGCTTCCCGGTGACGGCAGATCTGGGAACCAAATGATTGTTGCGAGCTATGTACCGCCGAGAACACCTGAGTGTGTCTATGTCCAATACTTCGATTTATTGCAGAGTTTGTTTAGTGATGATGATATCGAACACTTTTATTTGTTGGGCGACTACAACTTACCCGGTGTCGACTGGGCAACATATGACAATGATATATTACCGTCTGCAGGATTAACCTGTGTCGGTACCTCTCCTATTTGTGAGCTTCTGGGTGAATTTATGTCGTGTCTTAATGCCTCTCAATACAATACTGTTAAGAATTGCAACGGAAAATTGTTGGATTTGATCATAAGTAATAACAGTTGCTCAGTTTCCAACCCCACTAACCAGTTGTTACAGTCTGATAATTACCATCCGCCCCTCTGTATATTAATTCCATTTAAGACACGTTACAAAGTGTTGGTTAGAAGTTCAGATAAGAAATACAATTACTTTAAAGCGGATTATGAGAGGGTGAATGAAGAACTGGGGAACATTGATTGGTATGATAGAATGGGACCAAACCTGACTATAGACGAGGCATTAAGCAACTTTTACAACATAATATACAACATAATAAAATCGTGCGTCCCTTTAGTAAAATCAAAATCGTCCAAATTTCCAGTCTGGTTTTCGCCTTCTCTCATTCATATTTACAAAAATAAAAGTAGAGCTTGGGTAAGGTGGAAAAAGTATAAAAATTTATCGGACTATGAACAGTTTTCCCTTTACAGATCCAGATTTAAGAAGGAATGTGAAAACTGCTACGATAAGTATATTACCTCCGTTGAAGATGGTATACGAAATAATGTCAAAAGCTTTTGGACGTATATTGCGAAACGCAGATCCGCTACCGGCATTCCCTCTGAAATGAGGTACGGAAGCCGAATAGCTAGCGAACCTGAAGATGTTTGTAACCTATTTTCTGCCTTTTTTAACTCCGTTTATGAGCCACCGGGGTCCTCGTGTAGTGACATGCCGTGCACGAATAATGCTATTTCCGAGAACTGTTCCATTATCCATGGGATTGAATTCAGCGTTAGTGAGGTGCTGAGGTCTATAAAGGCGCTGGATTTATCAAAGGGGCCTGGTCCTGACAAAATCCCGGTGGTATTTCTTAAAGAAACCGCAAAAAGCCTGTGCACCCCCATACAAATATTGTTCAATAAATCACTGGCCCTGGGGACATTTCCGGAGGCCTGGAAAGTAGCCAACATTACACCAATCCATAAATCCGGGTCTAAACAGGACGTGGAAAACTACCGTCCCATTTCCATCTTGTCTGCAATCCCAAAACTTTTTGAACGTTTAATCCATAATAAAATATACCCTGTACTTCACAATATCGTATTGCAAGAACAGCACGGTTTTGTTAAAAAACGGTCAACCACGACTAATTTAGTAACCTTCGTTGACTATATTTTTAAGAACATGGATTCTCGGGTTCAGGTGGACTCTATATACACGGACTTTCGGAAGGCATTCGACAAGGTTGATCATAGTCTTCTATTGGAAAAGCTTTCATACAATGGTATACGCGGAGATTTATTGCGCTGGTTCTCTTCTTACGTCAGGAATAGAACTCAGAGAGTTGTCATTAATGGCTTTCAATCTGATACTGTTCGCGTTACTTCCGGGGTGCCTCAGGGTTCGATTTTGGGACCTCTTCTTTTTATTTTATTTATTAACGACGTTAACACTTGTTTCCGTAACTCAAAATTATTGCTTTATGCTGATGATCTGAAAGTATTTCGACCAGTTACTAATATACAGGACTGTAGATTACTACAAGAAGACTTAGATCGATTTACTTATTATTGTAGAAAAAATAAATTGCAGCTCAGTATAAATAAGTGTAGTTGTATAAGCTTCACAAAGAACAGGAATGCCATTAACTATGCATACTCGCTTGATGGGATTTTGTTGTCAAGGGTGTCCGTCGTTCGTGATCTTGGGATTCTTCTTGATGATAAACTTCACCTTAATGGTCATATTGACAGAATTGTGAACAACGCTTATCGCATGTATGGTTTTGTAATGAGATCTTCTAAAGACTTCAGGCGTCCCACGACTTATTTGTATTTATACAAATCTTTAATCAGATCGCAGCTTGAGTATGCGGTGTCGGTATGGAATCCCTTTTACAATAAATATTCGGATCAAATAGAAAAAGTACAAAGTAAGTTTTTGAGGGCAATGCATTATCGTTGTTTTAATGCTTCTGTGTCATACGAAGTTATACGCAAAAGATACAAATTGCTCGAATTAAAATCCAGGCGTAATCTCCTAGGAGCAGTGTTTTTGTATGATCTTTGTAGAAATGCATATGACTGTATTGAAATTCGTAACAGCATAAGTTACATAGTGCCTAGAACCACAATACACCGAGGGGTACGTGCGCGTCCTCAGTTTGCGTTGACGTCCTGTCGAACTAACGCGGGATTGCGAGCGCCTCTACGCCGACTGATGGAAACTTATAATAAGGATTTCCACTATATTGATATGTTTTCTTTTAGTGCCAAACAGTTTAAGGTCAGAGTACTAGAATCACTTACTGATTATTAAAATTGATTTTTTTTTTCGTTTTTTCGTTTTTCATTTGTTTGTATAATGCTAAATTTAATTTCATTTGATTATGCTGGCCGGTCTTATAGTGATTTCATTTTATTTTCATTTAATTTGTAAAAGTCTCAACATGTTTTTTTTTCTCTCTTTTCTGAACCATATATAACCACAAAAAATTATATTATTTATCATACTTTGCCTTTCCCCTCAGGGATCAAAAGGCGTAATGTTATTTATGTTTTCTTAGTATATTTTATTAGTTATATAAGTTTGTGTGATGGTGTTTATGATTTAATTTATATTCTGTGGAAAACGCCGTTGGTTACACATTTATTGGAACTACCTATGTATTGTGTCATAATGTATCATGTAATGTGTCGCTGTTTGTTTTCCCAAATAAATAAAATAAAATAATAAATAAATAGAAGATAAAATAGATGGCATATTTATTATTGGCAGGTTATAACTAGGTATTGTCCAGACTCTATAGTCTAGACTGATTCAGTGATTCATTAGAGGCCTGGCTGCTTTAACTGGCTTTATATTACAGTAAGACGTTGCGTTTATAAGTTATGTTCATTTAATAATATTTGAAGAAAGGCTTCATTGTGGGTTAGTAAATAATCTTTTAGTCATTGGGGTTAAATTAATTTGAAGACTTCTTAAAGTCTATATTTTACTTAAATAGTGATAGATAGCCGATATGAGAATGTTTTTTTTTTATATTTGATGGGCCGACGTTTGACCTCTATCTCGCCTGGTGGCAAGCGATGATACTGTCTACGATGGAGCATGTCGTCCTATAAGCAACTTATTCACTCGGGCCTTGAAGACACCCAGGTTATATCCGTCAGGAAATACAGACTCTGGCCAAGAATTCTACTCCTTAGCAGTACGCACAAGGAAGCTTGATGCGAAGCGCTTGGTGCGTGTGGGTGGAACATCTACCTTGAATTTCATTAAAGTAATTCTTGGACAAACCTGTACCTAATAAGTTTTCTTCAGTGCACAGCCCCATCCAGTCGTTTTTCAAGTGATACCTACTTAATACTTATCTAAACAAAATTTTCTTAGATCGAACAAACCAATGATCCTGCAGAATGAGAGTTCAGGTCAAAAATTACTAGACATTTTTGTTTAAAAGAAAACTTCATTTTGTCTATCAATACTGCTATTTGCCGATCCATTTGTTAGATTCATTTTCACACACCTACAGTTTACTCACGTTGGTATAACGTGTTTCCAGGTCATAAAGTAATAACCGAGCCGTAAGCAAACATTCTGACATGTTAGGTAAAGTTTCGTATAGCTCTCGTCACCAAAAATCAATCTTTCCCGACCTTTCACATTTTGCCAGTCATCCAGGGGTCTTAGGAATAAATTATGAGACATTAATGCAAGTTTTGTAAATTTGAACTTTCTGTATTGAAATGTACCTAATTTGAAATTATTATAAATTCCTTATTACATGAAATCTATATATATAAAAGAAAGTCGTGTTAGTTACACTATTTATAACTCAAGAACGCCTCAATCGATTTAGATGAAAATTGGCAGGGAGGTAGCTTACAACCAGGAGACGGACATAGGATACTTTTTATAGAATATTTTTTTTTACTTTTTACCGAAAATCACGAATGGGAACAGGGGCAAAATGGGATTGCGCGTACGAAGTCGCGGGCAGAAGCTAGTTTATTATAATTAACATATTATGCACAATTTTCAATTTTAAATAAATAGATTTTTCTCAATTTTTTTGTTAAAAGT